GAAGTAACCGGCGTTGCTCGGAAAAATTTGATATTACATACTTGCCATATAGAAATAGTTTCACGTCAAAGAAAACATTCTATCATACATCTTTTAGCTTTCTGTTTTGTTCGAAATGAGTATGTTCGTACATTGAATAAATTGATTTTAAGTATTTGTATGATTCTTCATTTGGAAAAGCTCAAATAGCACATCTTTAGTTCGTATATACTCTTAAGAAAAGTTTGATCGAAGCATAGATTTTTCATATGAGTTCATTAAAGGATCTCCTTAAGAATACAAATATGGTGAAATATCTGTGTAACCGAATGATAACTGTAAGGCAAGTTGTTTGCTACGCATGAGTCGATAGAGAAAAAGGCATGAAAAATATGATTGTACTTACGAATTGATGTTTGTAGTTGATATAAGAATTCTTCTTGTAATCCAATAATTTTATCACGTAATACTTTACTTTGTTGAACCAGACTATCAATATCATGTGATACTGTTGTTGCGTTTTTTTTGGTTGAATTTTCATTTGGTGTAATTGAAATGCATGATTGTTGATCACTAGAATCAGACGGTTGATCATCAGGATCAATTGTGAAAGTAGAAATAGTTGAAACTGGTAAAACTGGAACCAGTGCTCCTGGTACTGGTGCTGTTACAGCACTATCAAATGCACCTGACTTTTCGTCCGTTCGTCGTCCATTATGGTGTAGTTTTCTTTTTTTATTCTTTTTAACAAGTTGTGTTGAATTTGATGACGAGGATGCTGCTCAACGGCCATGACCACCGGCAATACTTTTGATAGCTTTCGCTGATTCATCAATTTTTTCCGAGAGATCAGGCGGTAAACTTCCCAAACGAGTATTAATTTGTCCACCATTTTCTTCGAATTCAAAGCTATATACAATACATTGGTTTTTTGTACCTATACAAATGTAAATTTTATTTAAGTTTCATGAAAAATAATACGTTTCATGGTGTGTGTGAGGGAATAGGATCAAGAATTACTTAAATACAAGAAAATTCAAAAAAAAATTAAAGACACAAATCAGAACTGCAATGAGCACTGATGACTGGCTTGAAGAAAATTTGGCACTTATTTACCTAAAGACAATACTTATAAAAAGCTGGATCTCGCTAAAGAATCGAGTATTTGTTTCAATCATCGATTATGTAACTGACGGATATATTTTATAGCCATTTTTTACTGAGAACTCGTGATATATATCATATCATAAATGCTGATTTTGAAAAGTAATTTTACAAGAATGTCAATTCTATGAAATATATTTTTAGCTAAAATATCCTGACCATTTTCAGGGATGCATCAATTCAAATGAATAAACTTCAGAGATAATTAAACGAAGGATAACTAAACAAAGTTGTAAAATAAATATAAATCAACTTACCAAAATACAATATTTTACCACGTCGACAATCTCTATTATTTCCTTCAAAAAATGTTGTTAAACCAATTTTTTATGTAAACATCGTTTTTACACGTTTGACATGGACTACAGCATAGTCGTTTTTATTATCGTCCCATTGAACGACACAATAAGAAGGTGCTTGTGTATCAGTTGAGATCGACGTAAAATTTTTACTTCTAAAACAAATACTAAGTAAAATCGAAATAAGAACTTAAAAAAAACGACAAATAAAGAATCTTGTAGACATGTTGCTCTGAATAAGATTCATATTCTGATAAAAACTCGATTTATTATATTTTATGGCTACGAAAAAAATTTAAATGAACTAAAAAATGATTCTACACAAAATATGTTGTTTTTATATTTAAAAAAAACTTCGAATTATGTTTAGAATAATTTTTATAATCTTGCCTAAAAGAGCAAATGTACATATGTATGTATGATAGGATAGACATCCCATATTATTGTGAAAAATAGTTGAACAATGTTTGCTGTCGGCATTGGCCAAGCGAATATATATATTGACTAGTTAATTTATATTATCGGGTTGATGCAAAAGTCTCCGCTGATTTTTTTCTTCTTCTCGATTTCAAAATTTTATTGAAACAAAATATCATCAATCAGCAACATATACACCGTTGTTATCTACTACATACTTCCATCTTTTAGGCAAATCCAGACTACCATCTTCAAAGAATTTCTTAGACAAAGACAAAAAAAAAGTTTCCAGGTCCGATTTTAGGTGGGCTTGATCATCGAAGTGTTTTTTGACCAGATGATTGCGAAGCGATCGAAACAGATGATAGTCGGATGGTGCCAAATCTGGTGAATATGGTGGATAGGGTAAGACCTTCCACTCTAATTCTTCCAGCTTCTGGCGGGTAACTTTTGAGACATGAGGTTTTCCATTATCATGAAGCAATCGAATTGTTCGTCTTTCTGGACGATTTGCCTGTAGAGCAACCTTCAAATTTTGAAGTTGTTGGCAGTAAAGCTTCGAGTCTATCGTAGTATTAGGAGGTAGAAGTTTCCAGTAGATTATCCCTTCGTAATCCCACCAAATAGATAGCATCACCCTTTTTGGGTGCAGGTCGTTTTTTGGTTCTGGTTCGGGCAAATCTTCAGGATTTACCCACTGACGCTTGCGCATATGGTTGACATATAGAACCCACTTTTCATCACCAGTGATTATCTGTTGAAGAAATCTATGTCGGTTGCGTTTTGACAACAAAGAATTGCATATGGTGATTCTCTGCTGTATGTTGTCCGAGGTTAGTTGATGTGGAACCCATGTTCCAAGTTTATTAACTTTCCAATTTCATGCAAATGGCGATCGATGGTGGATTGGTTGTATCCGAGCATTGCTGACAATTCACGGATGGTTAATCGTGGATTGTCTTGAATCGGGACTTTTAATCGTTCAATATCAGATTCGATAGGACGTCCAGATCTCGGGCGATCTTCTAATGGCATGTCACCTTCACGAAATCTTTTAAACCAATCACGACACGTTCGATCAGCAACAGCACCTTCACCAAGTGCAGCACATATATTGCGGGCAGCAGCACTTGCATTGTTCCCTCATTAGAACTCATACAAAATGCAGTGTCGGATATGAATAGGAATCTCTGACATGTTTTAATGAAGAATGTAAATAAACTGTGACATTTACCAATATCATCTTATAGTACGACACAAGCGGTATCATATGTATGAAAATCACGAATGCATAGTAGCGCTAGAGGACTTTAAGAAAATTTTTAAAAAAATCGGCGGAGACTTTTGCATCAACTCAATATATTACACGTTCTATAAAAGTTAGCATTGATCTCAGCTTCTTTTGTTTGAATAAATATCAAAGAAGATTGTTTAAAAATTCAGAATTTTTAAATGACTCTGGCAACATTTCAACAAGTAGAAAATAATTCGAATAGATTTCCAAAGAATTCCTGACTTATGTTACGTAATAAAAAAATTCATCAGTTAGCAATATTTTTTTAAAAGCTTTTTCTCCCCGGACTTTCTCTATATATATATATGCTCGTTTAAATTTGAAA